TCTCTAATACCAAGTCTATGACTTCCCATGCCCTAGTCTCTTGTGTGTCAACCCACAAATGTTGTGGTACTGCTTGCTTGGTTAGGTTCAATGTTGAAACAATGTTTGTGGGTTGGCACACAAGAGACTTGTGCATGGGAAGTCATAGACTTGGTATTAGAGATAGAAGCAGGATAGACGTGGCAACGATGGGGGCAAAGGTCTGACCATGAGACTTACTCAGAGGCTTTAGCCTCGAATTAGGCACCAAGACGCAGGGGAGGGCGAATAACGCCTCAAGTGGCATAGATAAGGGTGGCAGAGGTTGAGTGAAATATGTGAACAAGGTAGAGGGCAGACGGATCTTACGAGGCAAAAGAGACTGTGGTAAGGCCTAGGGAAGGAGGATTGCGTAACAATATGGCAGACTCTGATGAACATTCCCAGTACAAGGATGAATGGTGGTGAGAAGACCAGTGTGGAGCGCGGAAGGTTTTCATGAAAGCCGCTCAACAGGGCACACCGTACCACATTTGATAAAGCAAGTAAAAAAATGGTGACTGAAGGTGTGATAGGAGGATATAGGAAATGTGAATAGGCCAGGGCAGAAGGAGAGATACCACAACTGTTTAGCACATGTTTGGTCAAAAGATGGGCTTCACTTGTCTCTTTGACGAGTTGTAATATGATGCTACGAATGACGAGATTCACTGATGACGCCGGCGAAACGTCTGAGAATGTACCACGTCCACTGTCCAACGTTGGAAATGATTATGCATACAATGGACTCCAGACAAGGTGCATTCCTCTGAGTCTTCCTATCAATATGACCGAGTTGCGAAAACAAGGTCAAACAACTTCTATACAACAAAAGGCCACACCATCTTGGTCTTCATACCTTCGAGCATCAAGTTTGGTTGTTTAATGCTCGAAATCAAAGTCACCATGTCCCGTTACATTGGAAACTCTCGCTTATAAGGCTTTCGGCATCTGCCAGTTCTTGTGCATGTAGTCGAAGTGTGGGTGCGAATACACTTCAAAACTATCATTGTGCAAATGTTGTTTTTGCCTCTGCCCATTCTTATACCTATTCCATACTAGTTAGATTAGCATTCAGCATTTAGTATAATCCAGTCGGCGATCTTTAGCTGTACGTCTTACTTTTAACGTTACTCTATTTTTATGCAAATTAGTATTTTTATCTGGGATTAGTTTATATTTAAGGCTATTCGCAGTCTTCCTTCTCATCAGTTTTTGTTTGTATCCCAAATTCCCTTAAAGTTCTGTGGATTTGTTTTGGCGTCTGCCCTTTAGTCTTGTTGGCGCTTCACTCCATGAAATTACACCTTCCTGTTGCCGCAACGACATGTTTCTGAGCTGGAGCAGGGTTAGAATTGTTCTTGTTCTCTTTGACCCAACATTTTTTATTGCTCTTCATATGATCGCTACAAGTGTTTATGTGAACAATACTTCAATCCACCACAAATGCATACAATCGACGGTTACGTCATAAAATAAATTTTGTGCTTCAAATATCTTTTTTTCTCATCCTTATGCGCGGCCACATTTTCCACTATTTCTGCATGCGAATGCTGATGTACATTTTGTGTTTAGCTGCCCAACCTGCACATTAATTAGTCAGCTCCTGATAGGAAGGTCGTAGCCCATTAGCTTTTTGCCTCCCTACATATTATTTTCTTTCTGAAAACTCTATATATAAATGGTTATCAAGGCTGAATAGTGACCTGTACTGCATATATTCTATTATTATTTGAATTTAAAGGATGGTTTCTACGATTGAGCTAAATTTCTGACTACCACGAGCTATCGCGCAATTCAAAGCATATCGGCTTAAGTCACCTTCCCAAAGCTTCGATATTCTGTGGATCTCACTTCTATGCCTGCCAGATTACAGATGGGGCTTCTCAGCTATTTGTATTGCCAATAATCGTACTAACTTATTCGCCTCAGCCTCTTTTCCGTGTTGAGTATGTTTTTCCGACCTTTGGAATGCCAGCCTATAAAGTAAAAACTGCATCTGTAGTGGCTTTACTTCATAATCAGTTTAGCTACATCTCTCAAATCATGCAACATTTGGCAGAGCATGGCTCATCGACACAGTGTCCTGCAGGAACTGAGTGAAACTAGTCACCACTCGGATTTGAGACAACTATGGAGAGGATACTAGAGACATTAAAAGCTATGAAATTGAAATTACAGAAACGTCTTCTATCCTCAATTCCAGAGCACGATCACCTCTAATGCATCCTCGTCCAAGCCCGGTAAAATGGTATTGGAATCACCAAAATTTCGGATTCCGACCACGTGGTTGTGTTCTTTGTTCTTGGAGAGCTGACCAGAAATATCATAAAAAACCGCATATGATAAAAGAAGAAGTATGAAATATTTTATTGACACAGAAGTCCAAGTCAGTTTGATTCATCCTGCGGCGATCGACAGAAAACGCCAACATCCTCTACCTTTGGTCGCTGCCAATAAGACAAAAATTAAGATATTCGGTTCCAAAGAGATGATTTTGGTCTCAAAATGTTGCTCAAGTGGACTTTCGTTGTGGTGTATCTACCTTTCACTATCCTTGCAATTGATTTTCTCAAGGGACTGACTTTGCATGGATCCTGCCAATAACAGACTCGTGGATCATTATCCAATCACTGGATCTATGCCAAACCGGGCCTGTACCATTCGTGCCAGATTTCAGAAGGCTCAATGCTGTAATGATTCCAGATAGGCATCCTCTTTTACGTGTTGCGGACGTGGCCTTAGCCTTAAAAGGCAAAATCATTTTCTCCAAAGTTTACCTAAAAAATGCCTATTTTCAGCTCCTTGTGAACCCAGATCACATGGCCAAGACGGCCGTCATCACCCCTTTTGGTTTGTTCTAATTCAACAGGATGCCTTCTGAGCTTAGAAACACCGCATAGACGCTTCAAAGACTAATGGACGAGGTTGCTCGTGGTCTAGGCGGAGTTTTCGTCTACATTGGCAACATATTGGTTGCTAGTGGCGATAGGGAACAGCATTTAGTTACACTGTTAAAAAGACTATCCTATCTGGTGATTTCCCCTGAAAAATGTGTTTTAGCGTCGATTCCTTGACTTTTATCGGTCATTGTATCGATGCTGACAGCATGCTACCACGTCAAGAGAGGGTTTTGAATATAAAAGTGTTCTGCTTCTACGCTCTGTCAAAGCTTTAAGAAGTTTTCTCGGCATTGTAAGTTTTTACCGTCGTTTTATTCCGAAAAAGGACATCCCCCTATTTGAAGATCCGCAGCGCATTTTCGAACACAGTAAATCAGTCCTCGCCGAAGTGACCATGTTGGCACATCCACATTCAGATGCTGATCTTCACCTCGTGACTGACGCCTCCGATTGCGCTGTGGTCGGTGCACGCTATCAGGTTGCTGAGGGAGCTCCTCAGCCTCGCTTTTACTCTCTAAAACTCACTCCAACAGATCAGAGATACAGCACCCTTAGCCGCGAATTCTTTGCAGTGTATTCCTCAATGAAATACTTCAAACATGCTAACTGGAAGACAAATTCACATTTTAACTGACCAAGCGTTTCAGGCAGTTATTTCCCGCGCTAATTCCGCCAAATGGGCTACATCACACAATTGACGTGCGATGTGCGCCATGTAAAAGAGACAGACAACATCATCGCAGGCACCCTCTTCTGCATTGTCATGGTTTCTGTTGTACCTGACGCTAGAATTGATTATCAAGCCATGGCAGAAGCACAGGAACGGGAGCTTAAGACTAACGACACTGAGTTCTGGAACGAATTGGAGAAACTCACTCGGATTTGCCTTAGTAACGAGTAGCTCAGAGAATTTATGTGAAGAAATATAAGGGTCCTGAAGAGCGGATTTTATTAAAATACGATCAGAAATGAGGAGGACGAAAAAAGTGGAAATGTCTGCCTGCCTGTGGACTGAGCCGAAAATTGCGACAGTTGCTAAGAAAATGGAACGTCAATGTGATAAAAAAAAGAAAAGGCAGCACTTCACGAGCCCACCGATGCAACTGTTAGCAGAAGTATATTGGTGAAACAAGAAGAAAAATTGGCCTACGAATCAAAGAACACCAAAGACTCTGCAGAACCATGAACGGTGAAAGATCCAAAATAGCGGAACACATCGCACGAAGAGGACACAAAACCGAGTGGAGATCGACAGAAAGGCTGGTAACATATAGCAATAATACAAGAAAAATCAATGTATGAATAGCTATCGATATTCTGAATGGAAGAAATCTTATTAACACATTTGAAGAAGTCAAGATTGGTTAAAAACTTTGCATATTGCCTAGGCAAACTCGGAGAAGATCAGGGAACAAGAATATCAGAAAAAAGAAGACGACTGGAAAAGACGATACAAGGAGACCGGAGAGGAATGATAGGAAGCCAAGAGGAGACGTCTACAGTGAACCTATTCAAATCAAATAGAACCATCACATTTGGGGGTTGGCACCCAATAGAATGTCATGGAAGAGCGAGAAAAACGGTAGTGGCCATTTCCAATTGGCTATTGGTAGATAAGTTTGTCTATATGCGTGGTTCATGAAGTAAAGGTTTGACCTCGAGATTTACTCAGTCCACATGCCGCACAGCGATAAGGTTGTCATGCCAATTGAGAATCCAGACTTTTGGCTGGTGTATACATGCGTCAGCAAGAAGCCGAATATATATTTTCTTGGTGAATATTTTCTGATACACAATACATCACATCTCAACCTTCTTTCTTTTGCAGCTTTGGCTTGTCTTGAAATCCCATCATGTTTCGTTTCATTAATTAAGCAGTGATGTTCAGAGTAAGTCGAGTTTTCAGACTACCAGTAATATCAGTTGTATTCATCCTATTTCGTTTAAGGGGATGAATGAGACTGGTAATATTATTTTCCCACAATGATATGAGTAGAGCTAACGTTTCCATGGAATTGCACATGGCTTGCTTTCCCAAAATTTGTTCTCATCCAGGGTGGATTGCAGTTTCGCCCTCGCATAGGTCTAATCAACACCCCCAGCGGGAGTCGAATCGTGACGGTGCAGAATGTGAGCTTGACTACCGGTCATTCAATACTTTGAACTGATTTACTGGTAGTCTCAAAATTCTATTTACATACGAAAAATAAGCAACGTAATCGATTGTTATAGCAAATATGCATTTGCTTCATCGACAATCCCACCAAAGAAAGTGACATGGGAAAAGGCCTGGCCTTCCTTAAAATTCACATCAGCCCTGTGAACCAAGA